CCCGCGGTCTGGGTGACGCTGTGCACCCGCCTTTAACGCGCTTCCCCTCGCCGCGTAGGTACTGCCACGTGAACGTGCCGGATGAGCTGTTGCGGGACCTACTTCCAGGACCTGTGACCCTGGTCTTAAAACGTTCGGAAGAACTAAATAAAGACTTGAATCCCTTCACATCGGTAGGTCTTTGCCACATCTCTCTGGTTTTGAGGGACAGTATGCTATTTTTGTGCTTCTGCTCTAGTAGCTTTTACGCTTGCGCGTGTGTTTAGCGTGCTTGGCAGGGACTGGCGTTTTCCTGAAGCCGGTCCCCGTGCTGTCTTGCTCCCCGTGACCTAGTTGAACACGGCATAACCCAGCGCTAGAGGCTAACTTATGAAGACACGTCTCATTATTGCTGGTTCAGTGGGTGTTGATCTATTGATTCTCTAGAGTATCAGCTTTAAGTCAAGAGGGCTTTAGGCAATGCAAGATTAAGAACAGTTACTGTGTGTAAAACCTCGCTGTCTTCTTCCTTGTAGCTGGTTGGCGTTCGCATTCCAAACCACCCTTTTATTAGGGAGTTGGCACGAGCTTGCTCTGGACCACTGGCTTTAACAAGTGCTAACATCAGCTGTCAGGCGAGCACGCTGACGGTTTCGGTAAGGCTGTTTTTGCCACTAAGTGACGTGATTGTGGTAGTCTGTCAGAGCCCCAGGCTTTCACAATTGGAGGCTTCTGATTTAGGCTTCAGCAATAAAACAAGGATTTCCCTGCTGCTGCTGTGTTTGGTTTTTTTGATAGTCTCTAGTTAAAACAGCCCGCGGATATGTCGTGTGGGGTAGCTGCCTTGCTGTGATCCTCACCTTAAAAAGCAAGGAGGGCAGAACTGGAAAGTGATACTTAAAGGCTTATACTCAACTTCTGAAGTGAGTGCCAAATCTGGAAGATGGGAATTGCCGTAGGCGGGGTGGCTGTGGAGCAAGACTGCTGCTGTCTGTACAGCTCCTTGCAGCCTGGTAACTGTCATTCGAGGAGATGTCATTCTGCAAAGCTTGTGACCCTGGTGGTGGTACAGCTGGGCGTAGTACCAGGCACCCTGTCCTTGCCCCCAAATGTCTTGACAGACTTCTCACTTTTTCTGTGCACTCCTTAATAAACAGCGGTGCAAGCTAAGAAGTCTTCACCCAAAGAATTCTTGTGGCTACCCTGCGTGTCTGAGATAAACCTGTTCTCAGGAATCAAACTGGGATGTGTTCATGACAGGAAAAAAAAGTGAGCTGGCCTGACAGAAGAAGGGGAGAGGCCACCTCCCCTGACACCAGACTGTCCAGCAGTGTCTGTTAAAGCACGATCACAAGCCATCTTCAGGACTGTTAGCCGCATCTCTTTTTTTTTTTTTTTTTTTTTTCAGGAATTCCAAGACCTGTGGCCTCAGTTGTCCGTGATCATCGATGGAGGCCCAATAGGGGATGTCCAGAGCCCAGAATGTCGTTTGGGGTCAACTGTGGTTGACTTATCTGTGTCGGGGAAATTCACCATCATTCGTCCCGGCTGGTGAGCGCTCTTTGCTGAACACAACTGTAGCTTTTCCTTTACTTTAAATGAAGTGAAGCTTTCAGGTTAGGGTGGGTTGTGTTTTGCTTCTTTTCCTACAGCAGGTGAACCTTCATGTTAATGTTCTTTAGCTTAATTAGCAGCACGCTCAGAAATAGCGACAGCGCGCGCTCCGAATTCCGAGCCCAGGAGAGCCCTTCCTAGAAGCTGCTATGTGAAATACTCTAGGTTCTGGACTTCATGTTCTTCTTGGTTCAGAATGCAGTACTGTGTCCAGCTGAATACCCCAGAAAATGCAACTTAATCCTTAGAAACCTTTTTTCTGTTTCGCCCCACAGTGCGCTGACATCTACAGTTGAAATCCTGAGGCAGAAGTATGGCTTGATACCAGAATCATCTTAAGACTTCAGACTCTGAGGAGGCCCTGCAGAGCTGGTAAAGCTGGGCACCGTGTGCCCGCGCGTTCGGGAAGCGGGCGTTCATGGCCTTGTTTAATAAGGTCGATGGGTTATGTCAGGGTTAATAAACAAAAGATTAAAAAAGAAGAAAAGATAAAAGCCCCGAGCAACAGTTGATGGCTGTCTGTTAATTAGCATCACATCTGCTGTACTCTGAGAAACCAACCCAAATGTGCAGGCGGACCTCTTCGTGCTGCCGTACCGTGCCCAAATACCCATCTGTTTTATTGACATGGCTAGGCCTTTGAAATACAGCAATTTGAACATTGGACTGTTCTCAGGATGGGACGATGAAGGCAGCATCTGACCCACCCTCCCCTTCACACTTATTCCATGTGTGTTATTGTATCTGCACTGAAAGAAAAGCAAAGATGGAGAAGAGGTTTTCTGAGCTTTCATAATGTTACGGCTACGGTGTCCTCTGCTGCTTTTCTCTGTTCTACACGTAATCAAAACCTGCTGCTGAGAGGACACTGTAAGTGCTTGTGAAAACTAACAGTATTCACACGGTCCCTATTCAGACGAGAGCCGCCCAGAAAGACCTGGCTTCCTCCTGACACAAAGAATAAAAACGAGCTCTTGGCGTGGTGGTGATCTTCGTTTTTTTAATGTGGACTTCCCTCTCCCAACTTTGCTCTGCAAACAGTGCTGAGCTGGCGTACACAGGGAATGGATGAAGGGTTCCTCTGGTATTTATCCACTGAAAAGTAAAGTTTATGGAGCTGCTATTAATTTAAATACTGGTAAGCCACTTGCATGATTTTGTTACAAATGCTTTTTTTTTTTTTAGACATTTTTT